GTACTCTATCAACTCAAATGTGCACATAGTCTACTCTCTTGACTGTAGACAATGTACATTTTTGAGTTGACAGAGTAGATGTTTGTTCCTGCAACTTTTAAGTTGTCTGCCTAAATAGTGTATTTCGACTAACGGAGGAAGAACAGCGGGCAGAACCGAGAACATAAACCTTACCGATTGGCCGAGAGCTTCCCGCCTCTACGCCACGCCGGTAGTGGGGGTAGGCGCTCGGCCAATCAGGAACCATCATGTTCTACCCGCTATTATTCTTCCTCCGTTAGTCGAAATACACTATACTGTATTTAGGCCTGCTGCATCGGGCCGCCCGAGTTTTCATCGTCAATGTTCATTGTCAATGTTCATCGTCAATGTTCATTGTCAATGTTCATTGTCAATTTTCATTGACAAATCTCGTTGGTTCCCCGTTGACGTCCACTATCCCTCCTCTGACAACTGCCGCTAGAGAGAGCCTGCTGCGAACCCCCCACCCCACCCCACCTTCCCTCTCCACCGCCTCGCCACTGAACCGCCGCCGCCGAGCCGCCGCCCGCCTGAGCTGAGATCTCTCAGTCTGTCCAGCTCCCAGCCCCGGCAGAGCTAGTCGCCCTCTCAACCTCAACGTGCTTCGCGATTCGTCGGTCGTGCAACTCGCCATGCCGCCTGTCCGTCGTCAAGCTGGACCAAACCCGACGCGCTCCCTGTCCCCAACAACTCCGCCGGGCTCTGGTCCTCGCCGTCCTCGCCGTCCTCGCCGTCCTCGCCGTCCTCGCCCCGCCGCCGAGTCCGGCCCGCGTGCCGCCGTGCCGCCGTGCCGCCGCGCGCTCACCCGGCTGCCGTCGCCGAGCTGGAGTTGGAGCCCGTCATCCGCGTGGGCGTGTTCGTCGTCGCGGCAGCCTCCCTCCCCCTCCTACCCCGCCGGCCCCCGGGCCCCGGGCCTGGCCCATTCGACAAAGTGCATCGTGGCCAAATAAGTGAAAGTGTGACAGTAAATGTGGAACGCAGTGCGTGCATTTTGGCCTTGAAGTGAAGTGAAGTGAAGTGAAGTGAAGTGCAGTGTTAAAGTGATCTCAAGCTGTGTGTGTCGCCTGCCCCTTCGTCTCCGTTGGACTCGTCGTCGCTGCTGCCGCTGCTGCCGCTGCTGCCGCTGCGCGCCGGACCAGTCGGACCAGGCTGGCTTGGCTGTCGACTCATAGTAGGCCGTACTTCAACGCATACCTTCAAAATGGCACTCTCTGCGTCCCCCAAAACACATTACAGCGAAACACATTTCAACATGATAGGGAATCTGACACAAGTCGTGGCGTTGAAGGGCAAGAACCGGAAGTCGCGCAGACATGGGTATGGGGCGACGGGGCGACGCGTCAACAACCTCATCTTTTGCGAAGTCACTTGTGGCCCGTTTCGGTAAATATGGCCGATTAGCGTTGATATAATGTTCTGTTTGACGTCTTGCCTTTTAAATCTGGAAGAGATATGATCTGAAGATCCACAGTCAGGTCAGTGATCAAATTGGTCCCATTTCACTGAGATGCGTTTGGCTTTGCCTTGTTATTTTTGATCACCCCAGATAGTTGTTGTGATCGGCAGGATATCATCGGTACACGAGTGAAGACGCCCGACGCCCTCCTCATCGTCGTCGTGTTCACCGTGCCGCCCAGCTCACCGCCACACTCTGCTCATCCCTCCTTGCCCAAGCTCACCATCAGCCTGCCCTGCTCATCTCCAGCCAGCTCACAATCAGCCTGCCCTGCTCATCTCCGCCCAGCTCACCGTCGGCCTGCTCAACTCATCTCCAGCCAGCTCACCAACAGCCTGCCCTGCTCATCTCCAGCCAGCTCACCATCAGCCTACTCTGTTCATCTCCAGCCAGCTCACCGTCGGCCTGCCCTGCTCATCCCCGTCCCGCTCACCGTCGGCCTGCTCATCCCCGCCCCGCTGCTGCTGGATTTCCGCGGGGCACACAGATTGTTGCTGCCACAAAGGTAAGTTGGTTCCAGTATGTAGTAGTCCCGTGAGCTGCTCCTTACACCCGCTTCTCTTTTGCAGGCCCAGTTCCAGCCGCTGTGCCCCGGCGGACAACTGAACCTCAGAGCGGCAGGAGAACCCCTCCAGACAACAGGTACGTCTCGCAAGCATCATTGTTGCACATTTGGCCCGCTTGCAGTGGCCCCGGTCGGTTCCTGACCTGACGCCGCCCCTCGGCTGCTGGCTGGCGCGCCGCGCTGGTCCTGCCCTCGCTGGGCTCCGCGGGTGTCCCCCGTAGGCCCCCCTCCCCCCCGCGGGGCCCGCGAGTGGCAGCGCCCCGGCGCAGCGCGTCGGCTGCGGCTGGCGGGCGTGTTTGATTCTTTGTGACCGGAAGACCACGAGGGCAAAGTGATGGCTTACTCCTCCAACCGCACGTAGGCAACAGTCTAATACAGTTTCGCTCTTCCTCTCCCATGTTGCTGCTAGCTGCGGCCCGGCCACCGAGACGATCGAGTTGCTGCACCACTCCGTTCGACTCACACACCCCGAGGACATCAAGAAGGGTGTCACCACGGCTTCGCCTGCACCTTCTTGGTCACCAACAAGCAGGTGGGCATGCTGACCTCTGAGGTGGCTGCTAGCTGGTTCTAGTTTCTTTCGTCCTCGCTTTTACTTTGAAATCGTTTTAATGTATTTTGTTCCTTTTGCAGTCTCCGTGTGTGCGAGGCGCTCCTGGTCGGTGCCATGTCCGCGGTCCGCCGCAACTGCACGCCCCTCAGCCCCGCCCCGGACCGTTTGGATTGCCCGGGACGCCTCGCCACGAGCCACTTTTCCAGTTCCAGGCCCGTTCCTGGCCCGTTCCAGTTCCGCCGTGGTCAGCAGGTAGTCCCCGCAGCCGGCGTGGACTACAGGACCTCCAGGACCTGCTGCTGCTGTCTGTACTGTCATCCCGAGCAGCAGGAAAAAGGAAGAACTGGTATGTAAGGCCCACTGTAAAATGCATGCAAACTATAATCTTTGCAACGTTTCAAAGAATTAGCTTGCATTGGAAAGAAATCGTTTGCAAGCTTGCTGAAAGCAAGGCTGAGACCTCTTCAACATACTCTCATGCAAATGATTGATTTTCTTCAAAATGTTTTGCCGTTAGGGAAAAGTATTTTGATAACAGTTGGACTGAGATTTGTTTGAGGTTCTGTTTATTGAATGAGTTTGCTTGTCCTCCCACAGGTGTGCAGCTTGCGTGCAGGTGGACTGTCATATGAGGATGAGAAGAGGATTGCCGCGGGGACCACAAGGGGCAGTAAGAAGGTGAGTTTATCTTGGCATAATAACAGTTGTCGAACTACTTTTCACTCCAATTCACATGTTACCTTTAGTTTTTAATCATAATGAATTACCTTTGTTTCATTCAGCACATTTCATTGCTGCAGCAGCAACGAATTGTGACAAATAACTGATGTCAATATGATAAATAGTGACGATTCTAAGGGGTCTCATACACTTTTTTACATTTGCCTTTTGCTAAAATCTTATTTTTTATTGTAGAAGCTTATTAAATTTGAATGTTCTTTGCGTAAATTAATGTTTCACTTCTTATAAAATTAGTTCCGACCAGAAACGGGAAGTGTGAGGAGATTGTTTTAATCAGTTTAAATATGAGACTTGCGTCCTTTCTTAATTTGCTGTAATACCTTACAATGCTCATTATGGTCGAACTATGCAAAATTTTACTTCTATTCTAAGTTAGTTGTTCAATTCTATTATTGAAATTTTGTTGTATGGAAAGTACAAGGCCAAACATTTGTTTTTCTTTCTCAAACTCGTAATCTGGTATTTATGTTCCAGATGGCATTTCAACATTGCTGTACGACTAGATGGAAGCCCTTCAACTTCAATGACAAGACCATCATTTAACATTTATATTTTTAATCACTCACTCATCTCTGTTCATGTGTACTGACAATAGACTATCTCTTGACGATGACTTCTTATTTCTGCCTTGATTGCTTGCATTGTAGTTTATTTATATGGTGTTGGTAATTACATGTTGGTTCCGTATTGCCTGTTTGTTGTTCTTGTAATTTTATATGGGGTGTAGGAAGTCTGTGATCTTGTTTGTCTTGCATTATAGAGTTTATTGTTTATATGGTGTTGGTTATTACTTTTTGGTTGTATTTTGCATGAGCTCGTAATTTTATGGGATCTAGGAGGTCTGATCTTTCTTTATGACTTGACACTATTTTCTGAGTATCTTAGTCATCCTGTGCTCACCTGTATCATGCGTCATTTAATCAGAGTAAAGAGTTCAACTGTAAAATTTACTGCTCTAAATTGTATTCTTACTTGTGAATAGCTTCCACTATTACATCACATGTGCTTGTATGAAATTGTTTTATTGGTGTTCAGCATTTTTCAAATCAATTCACTACTTGCTATTCAGCAATCAATATGCCAATTAGGTCAATCCTACTCTTATGTTCTGGTGTAACTTCACAAGTGATTGCTGTTGGTCCGTCTTTTGTGGTCCATGTGCCACTGTTAAGCCAAACCTGTCAGCTTTTTGGTTTCCGTAAGAATAGAAATAAAAACAATTATATGAAGGTATCACAATAGTTGATTGTTTCTTCCTGGAATTCCTGAAAGCTACCAAATCATGAAATAGGAAATACTAATAGCAATATAATAAATACATTGAACACACAATGACCTTTGCAAGAGATTATGCCAAGCAAATCTAGAACCATTATAGCAACTGGTTGTTAGGTAGGTCCTTGGGTGCCCAGGTCGGGGAGTGGGAAAAGGGGGGGGAGGGGCAGCTGAGCGCTGCGTGGCCACACTTGAGTCGAGCCCACCCTGTTCTTAAAGGGAAAGAGCGAAAGGGGAAGGCACGTTTCTTTTTGGTAGAGACAGTCTTGGGGACTTTTAAAACGGAGAGCGCGGGTGAGAAAACGAGCGATTTTATGAAGTAAACGCGCTACGCTGAAACTTATCGAGAAAATAAAAGAGGAAAGTTTCTCGCCCGAGTAGTTCCCTGGGCCGACCGCCGGCTGGCTGCCCCCAGCACCACCTTGAGGACCCCCTCCTCCCAGCCCTGGAGCCGCTGGTCCAGCAGGGGTAGCGTCTGGCGTGGCGGGGCGAGGCGGGGGGTGGCGTGGCCCCTCCCCATCGCGCTCCCGTCTGGTGGCACCAGCCTGTAAATTATGCACCACGCTTTTCTCTCCTGACGCGACCTGATGTGACGGCCCCGTGGCACGGCGGGGCGGGGCGGGCAAAGAGAAACGCCGCCCGTTCGATGAGCGTTGGCGCTACGCTGGCCGCCAGTGCCCGCATACTTATTGCAATGTTTTGAAAATCACAGACAGGGTGCTAGTAGGATTAATTTGCGAATAACGTTTTTCTTGCCGTCGTTTGCGTTACGCAAGCAGAAATATATTTTTTAAAAAACCCAAAGAAACACAACTGTTAACTACCCTTGAAGAAGCATGGTGGATGGTGGGTGAGACTCATTTGGCCTGGCCTAGGCCGGCTTGGCGGCGCCTGGCGTGGCGCGAGCCTGGCGGCCCTTATGGAGCCGTTTGCCGCTGACACCCCGGGAGCACCGTGCAGATTTATTTATCCCTTCAAGCCCCTTTTTCATCTTCCGACCCGGAGCACGGGGGGCTGCGACTGATGGCCGACTGAGGGGAGCTGCGAGGGCTGCTCCTGGCTGTTCGTTAGCTTTTCTCTACCCTGCAAACTATAAAATAGACGAAGCCTTAGGCCAGGCCATACTTTTGTAAAAGTGTTCGTCGGACTCTTATAACAGTATGAAACTGTAATTTCGTGTCACCGCTTACCCTGCAATTTACAATGCAAAAATAATTGCAGTTTTATTGCGTATGGTAATGTATGACGGTATAACTGCTGATGTAGTTTTTGTCTTAAAGTGCAGTTGAGAAACACACTCGGTGGGGAGTGGAGTTGCGTGCTCATCGTCGCACCGGTCGCACCTCAGCTGCGTCCTCCCCCTGGTAGCGCGGGCCGTGCGCTATCAGTCACATCAAGAAGAGGGAGGAATGGGAGGAGGGCTGTAGCGCGTACAGGGAGTCGGTGTGTGCTCTACACTGGCTGGGCAGCGGGGCCGAGCTCAAAGTCACCCGCCACCGCGCAGGCTGTTACGGTTGTAACGGGGAACGCCCGACGGGTAGGCCACCCACGCTAACTCTCGCGCCTGGAGGTAGGCAGCCTCTCCTGCACGAGTAGCTGTCTGCCGCTGGGGGCGAGAGATGGCGCTGTCACCTGCCTGTCTCGAGTTCCCTCCTCCCTACCTCTCCCCCCTCACCTGACCAGAGATCAGCTGGGCAGGCGAGGGAGCGGAGGAGGTCTCTTTGCTGACCGAGCGCCATCCGAGCAATCAGCTGTTGTGACTTTGCTCCAACCTACCTTTACCGTTTTAGCGGTTGACTCGTTAATGGTCCGGAGTGACCTGAGTTTTACTTCAATTTCTTGCTTTTGAAGCCTCATGGGTGAGTCGTAGCAACAGTTCTATGGTACAGTTCCTCCTGGTGTCCTGTGTGGGCTCATGTGTGTCTCTCATTGCATTTAGGTTGCCTTGTGTCATTGACACTTTTAGTACTGCCTGATAAGTACACTATGGCGGGCTAAGCCGCCTTGGGTGCCCTGGCCCAGTCATCATGATGGTCAGCAACGTCGGTCTCCTCAGGGAGACCATCAGGTTACTTACTATGTAACCACCTCCAGTGCCCAGCCTCCATGCAGGTGTACTTCTATGTACTTACCTAAATTCCTGCTACTTAAACCATCAATAAAATTGTCATGTACTTGTAAATAAGTTGTCTGTTGGTTCCTAAGGAGAATAGTTTCGGATTTAATTGACCAGATTTTCTTCGCCTTAAATTGGCGTTTCTTGCCTTGGTTGGGGACAGGTTGCTGGAAAGGCAAGTGGTTCGTAGATTGCGTGCCACTCTTCCAGTAGCTTGTCCCCAGTAAGGTCGTTTATTCTCTCTGCCTTGTAGGCTGCCACCATAGAATCTATTCTGGTCAACGTTAACTTAGTTTACTCTATGTGAGTTTTATGTCTCCTTAGGTTCCAACAGCAAAAGCAACCGTAACTTTTAGTAATGCAGTATCTCTCTATTTTTAATCGACTCCGTACTAACTCTGTTTCTGAGTTCCTTAATTACTTGTATGTAATTATTTTTAGATATGATCTCCACACTGGCTCCACTGTTGTTTATTACTTCTAATAAATATTATTGATTACACAAAATGTCTGTGAGTTCTGAGCAGGGTCCTGTAGTGACCCTTGGCGCCCATAAAAGTTAAAACAACCTAAAGCTACTGAACCACACCCTTGAGCTATACAGTCGGGAGGGAGACTTTTGTTCATACTGCCAAGCAAAAGCCACAAGGCGCGGTATAAAGGGGGGGGGGGCGATCGCCCCTCCCCCATCGTCTCTAGTGAGCCGCCTGAAAGGTAGGCAATTTTTGCTACAAAACCCCTGTATGTAGGCAACCTGGCAACCCACAGTGCATCGCCCACCCCCATCGCCCCCTCCTTATACCGCGCCTGCCACCGCGTATGTTAAATACACCATTAAGCATGGTGGTTATGTGTAGTTTAACTTTTTACCCTATTATTTTAAATTACTGCTTCTATTGGCAGACGTAACTTCCAGATCTTGTCTAAAGGAAACAAATACCGTTAAAACCAAAAACGCACCAAAAACAACAAAATAGTAAAGCTTGCGTGTTGCTTACTCGCTCTGACAGTAAGGCGCTTTGTTCAGAGATGACAGATGAACCCACCCGTGCACTCGTACGAGCAGCAGGATAACCACTAAAGCGGGCGGGGCAAATGAGCCACCTGGTATTGGTAACAAATAGTCTGCAATAATCCGGTGCGTGGAGCTAGCAGAGCTAGGGACTATAGGGGGGAAAAGGGGGAGGGGGCATGTCATGTACAGGGGGTAGAACGGCGTGTTGGGCTCACTCAAATTATTCAATGCGATGTTTTTATTTTCCTCCCGCTCGCTGAAGGTCGCGCAGGGATGGGGTAAAAGTGTAGCCCAGGGAACCTCGGGGAGGAAGGGGATGGGGGTGCAGGCCGACGTCCTAGAGCCCCCTGGGACAGGCGAAGGCAGGTGGGGCACTCAGGTCAGGGGGACCGACCGGGGAGGGTGGTTGGGGTGCGAAGGTCAGTGCCTCTTCTCGGCATACCCCCGCGGCTTGCTGCCCGCGGCATCAGGGTGTAGCCGGGGTATAGAGGACTCTGTTACGCGTAGGGGTACCACTTGCGAAAAGAAGCCATTCGGCTGCTTTGACGACAAAGTTTACTGCTGCCTCCCAACAGACGGCGCGATCATATGGGCCTCCCCGCTTGGGGCCGCCGGAGCCCCCGGGCAGCTCCAGTCGGGGCGGCTCCAGCTGGCTCTGTGGCCCACCGCTGGACTGTGGTGACCGCAGCTACCCCCCTGACCTGCGCCCGCACTGCGCTCGCACTGCGCCTGTCGGCCGTCCCGACCAGATGTGTCAGCCATTTTGATTTGGGAAGTCAATAGGACATTAGGGGGTTCAAGCCGCGGAGGGGAAGCGGCGTGTGGTGATGAGGGGAGGGGCTGCTTTCAGGCCGGATACGGGAAGGGGGAGGGGGGATTAGCCGCCAAGAGAGGGGATTGAGTTTGGGAGGTTGGGGGGGAGGGGGGAGCTCACCTACTGCCCACGCCTTCCCTTCAGTCTCCCCCTCTCCCCCTTTCTGTGCGAGTAAGTTCTCCAATTCTACACCCCGGCCCCGTGTAAAGTTCGGCTGGGCGGGTTGTAGCGGAGCGAGCGAGGCGTGGTGGAGGGAGGGGTGGAGGGAGGGGTGAAGGAAGGGGGAAGAGGCCGAGGTGTGGCGGGGGCCGCTATTAAGTCACGTCTCCTCCAAGCGTCGAGGAGCAGCCCTCACCATAATGAGAGAGGGCTGATGAGCAATGTCTGCTCGTGAAGCTGTGTATGTGTGTGTGTGTGTGTGCCGTGTTGTGCTTGTGAGTTCGTTGTGAGTGCGAGCATCGACATACATGCAGGGAGCGAAAGGGGAAACAAAAAGCATCACTGGCTGAAAGAACAACGGGAAATTATCGATTGGCGGATGCAAATGAATTGGGACAAACAAACAGACGACTTGCTGCGGTCCTGTTGTGCGCGCGGTGCGAGTCGGGCGATTGTGCACCCTCACCTCACCCGCGTCGGCAGGCCGAGGAAATTTTTGAATGAGTCAGTGCTGAGTTCTCCCTTACGGCGCGGCGTAAGCGTTGAAGACAACTTCTACAGGGTGGCCGTTTAACCCCGTTCTCGCGAAATGGATGGATATTCTTGCCCGGGTCCAGGAGTGCGGCAGAATTGACTATTCGCACGGGGACCTAAGTGGTCGTCCAGAAAGTACGTACGTTTTTCTCCGATTCATTCGGTAAATCACGGGACCTTGGCGCCCGCGAGACTGTGGGTAGGCCGGCCCGCAGTACACGCAGGCTCTGCAGGCAAAATGTGGCCTAACTATCAGGCGCTATCAGACCTTGCATTGGCTGAACTTGTCAGTCTCGTGAGACTTGGGTTTCCAGAGTGTATGCCTTTTACTGTTTACACATGGATTTCAGTGTGTCCCCTGCTTGATCCATCTTTCAAAGGCTGCAATCGTCGGGGCCCTCCCTATCCATCCACCCTCTTTCCACTCCAGGTGTTGTGCTCTGCACTCCCACTACCGCAACCTCTGTCGCCTACAAAGCGGCCTTGGCGAGCAAAAGGCAGAGGAGAATCCTGGCAGAGGTGGAGGCGATACACACGAGAGGCGCCGGGGGACCCTAAGGAGAAGTGGGCAGAGGAGAGGGAGGAGTGGGAGGGGAACGGGGGGATTTGGCCTGGGCGGCGCGGCCGTGGCCAGGCAGGGCCCCGGCCCCCGCGACTGCTGCAAAGAGCAAAGCCCTTTTGTCGTCGGGGTAGCGTGTGTTGGCCGTGGAGCTCCGCCGCGGATGGCACCGTAAGCCCCTGGCCCGGCCCCCACAACCACCACTTCACTCTTCCCCCGCC